AAAAAAAAAAAAAAAAAAAAAAAAAATACTTATGACATAGAAAGTATACTTAAACATTCCATATGATTATAGACTTCTAATCAATAGGCGAGTGCGACATTAATTATTATTTGAAACATTCTTTGTTCGTTTCAGAAATTATGAAAGTGCAACATCGTCTTGTTTATTTTAAAAATAAACACTTCACGTCATGCACTGCATGCTATTTTTATGTAAGACATTGAAATGTCCGATAAATGAAAGCGGTTCACAGCCACACGATAAAAATATTCAGAAGATTTTTAATGAATTGTATGTATTGAAGAGAGTTTCTAAAGATTTTAATAACTATAGGTACGGGGTGTAAACCATGAAGCAAAAACGAGACGCTTGAAACGAGAACAAAAAAAATTTTTACAATTTTAATCGTACCTATTTGTTTTCGGGTTTCTCACGCAACTTCAGCTTTGCGCAGTTGATTACAACTATCATATTACATAAAAACAATTTTTAATTCCATAGGTATCTACTTTTTGAAAATAAATCTATTTCTACAATCACCTGTCTTTGTTTTTTGGAAGCCTTCTTCGTATACTTAGGTACCCTGTTTAAAGGCGTATATAGGTACCTACTCTTGGGACTCTCGGTAAAAAGGATGATGATATTGTAGATGAATATGTAGGTACTTATTAGGTACTATTTTATAGTACTTAATTACATATGTATGTTTGTTAATTTAATTAATGTCAATAGTTCAAAATAATAAGTCTAGTTCCGCATTGACAAACAACTTCATCTATCTACTGAAACATAGTATGGATACCTATGTATACCCGATAACCTACATATATAATATACTAGGTACCTTTGCCTACCTTGCCTGTATGCAATTGGAAACTTTAAAGATCTCTTTCAAGGAGGTAGACCATGATCCTACCGGTACGGATAAAATTTTCTAATCCAGTAGGTACTTTCAGAGCAAATTCAATAGGTAGACAACCATCGATCTTGTTTTTCTCCTTTAGAATAAAATTATACTAGTATACATTCCAAACTGTCGCGGAGAACCTAACGGGTAACCGGGGCTCCGGCTCGACGTGCAGGAGAAGGAACGGATTGGTTTTTAGTCAGTAAGAGTCTGACACTCCCTCCCGGCTCACCCCAGGCGGGAGCAGTCATTAGATGAATTTACCGCCTAAAAAAAAATACATTCCAAACTATGAGAGATGAGTTTGTATTTTTCAAAAAACAATCGTTAGATTCGTGTATTGTAGGTAAAGTAAAACTGAAAGGTATGTTCAAGGCAGTAGCTGCGGCCGTGGAAGCTAATGACATAAGTTTAACAAAAAATAAACAACACGATATGTCTCGATGATCGGAAAAAATATTCAGTAAGTATTAAGATTCCAATCTTACAACAATTTTAAAGGTGTTTTAATGTTCTTCAATTGGTATTGAACACAAACTATTTTAAAAATAAAAATCATCAACTGATAAATTCGTTACTCCAGAGTTTTTGTTTACCAACAAATTGGAGCCGCTCCTAAATGTCCATTGACTCGGTAGAGTATGTTCTCCGAGGTGACCGTACCTCGACAACTGATAACGCAAAGAATCTTATTTTAGAGACTATTGATCGAATAATTACCTAATTATTTGATTAGGTAGTTAGGTACTTGATTGAGTTAATAGTGGTCTTGTAGGTATCTTTGCCATACCACTGACGAGTATAGATCTTCTTCTATGCATCACTCTCGTCTCTTCTCCATCCTCAACTCCTTAAACTTCATTAATATATTGCCTACCTTATCACTTCGCAATAGAGTTTAAAATTCATTAAAGAAATTTAACATATTGGTGTAGTTTAATGTGCTGCCATCTACGCTGTCATTAGCACAAGGTTGACTGAATTGTTTGTATACCTATTTAAATAAAGGTTGTTTCACATAGTTATGAGGTCAGCTGTTAGGTAAGAGTTCAAGTTTACATCACTGACCCAGTGAAGGATGTAACGATGAGACTTATTTTTGTAAACATTACTAAGATTCACCTACCAACTTCACTTCTACCTCAGACGCGAAGACCTACTTCGATTCTTATTATATTTATTGGCCACCTGTCTTAATGGTCTACTTACCCTCATTTTCACGACGGTGTTTGTCCAGTTACTATGATAAGTAGTAAGTACCTATACGATATTATTATAAATTGTAGTGCACTTGAAGAGATAGTGCTTATCTCGTCCGGGTCACCGGGGCCGGCCGGTCATAGATCACACTTTTCCCCACAGATCTTGTGGAAAAATAACTTTTATCGTCGTGCTTGTTTTGTGATAAAAAATGTTAATAACAAATAGTCTGCACGACTACAACACTAGATATATTACTATTATTAATTATTGTAAATCATTATGAACTATTATGAAGAGCTTTAAAAAATCTGTAAGTGTTTAGCGTGAGAGTTGTAAGTCTACAAAGGTTTATTATTAGCCAATCTAGTGTGAATGACTTTGGGAATGTGTTTCATTATTTTGTTTGGTGTGTTGTTTGTGAAATCAACATACTTTTTGTCTCAAATCTGTGCCAAATAAAAAAAATAAACAAAGGTTTAAATAATATCGACATATTTTATTCCTTAAACCTAACAATAATGTAGGCATAACATTACATTTTGTAGGTACACATTTACTTAAAATATCTACTTAGTAGTTACAACATATCTTATCGTTCCTCAATCACACACTTGGACCAAGCGGGATGAGCAAACAACAAACAGAGAGCGCGACTTAACTATGGCACACGCCGAGAGAGAGCTCCCACTCACGCACTCTTCAGGTACTTGAGTGTCTTTAATAAATAATTCCTACGACGTCACTACACTGTACTTCAAAGGGGAACATTTGGTGGCGTCTTGCAGGGTTCCGGGGGCGGCGGCCGCCGGTCGTCTGGCGTGCGCGACTGGTAGTACGCACAGTATGGAAGTGGATCCCAAAATGTGAATAGGGCTTCACGAGTATCCAGCACAGTATCCAGTAGCTTGCCCATAGTTGCCGTATGCCCACAACGTGCCGTTCCCTGGCACAAATACGGCAGAGACACACCAACACGAGCACCAATGGCCACCAATTTATTAGTGTGACCATTTGTAGTTTGCTCTTCACGAACAAGTCTGAATGACACATGTCCAGTCATCGGCCTCGCTGGTGCGAGGAATGATACAAATCGCTGCACCCATGCGTCAGCTTCTTCATCCTTTTGTGGTACAAGTCCTTTTCTTGCAGAGTCCACTCGGCATGACACATTGTTGACTGCACGGGATTCTTTCAAAGTAGTACACGTCACAATCCTTTCTCCTTTTGGTTCCCGAACAATAACCCATGGTTTTTCCGCACTGATTTCCCGTGGGAATCTAAATTGAGCTTTCTCTTCTGGCATAACAAAACGTAACCGGTCCCTAGCTCCTCGCGCGCCCGCACTAGCAATGAAATGTCTTCCCTCCTTAGAAGCACCGCTATCGTACCACGCACGAACATCTTCGTCGTTGGCCACCACCCAGAACTGAGGTGTCGCTAGTCCCGCAGCGCGACACACCCTCATCAGCTCCAAAGGGTCATCCAATGTAACAACATCACGAGCGCAAGGCACAAAGCACTGGCATCCGAGGACTTCTAAATGTGATTTTGCAAGCGCATCGTAATAGGCCGGCGTAGTTGAGCTCACTGGTACATAAAACACCACCGATTCCCTTTCCACTATTTCTCTTAATGCTCGCGCATAAGCTAAGGGATCAGCTGGATTGGGCCGTGGCACTGTATAAAATTTATGAACTGCGGCTGAATATTTCAACAGTGCAAATTGCCCTTCTATTTCAAATGCTACAACTCTTGCCCCGGCTGAATGGAAATTTCTGGCTAGATGCAAGGCTTGTACAGAACTGCCTCCACTAATAAGCACGGTTCGCGGCTTCTTCTGGTTTTTTGAGTTAATTGCACGTCCAATCATTTTGAGAACTCCAATAGGGCACTGAACACACTTCCAGAATAAGAATAGAGAGCCGGCGATCCATAATGTAGGTAGAACGACCAGAATTTGTTTCCATGCAGGGTGAGCGATTAGGCTCAAAATGGCGAAGAGAGGTCGTAACATAAGCCGTGGTCCCCATGTGATTATCCTGACGAAACGCGGCAGCGGCGGTGGACGCTCAGGAGATATGGCGCGCTCCTCTGGTATTAACGAGAAGGTGGAGGAGAACGATCTCCTCAGAGCCGTAAAGGGCGGTGGCTGATGTGAGCATCGTTTAACTCGCGGTGAGAACACTAACTCTGTGTTGGAGCGCGCGAGGCGGCTGTACTCGGGCGCACAAGCCGGCATGGCGGGTGTGGTTGTCAAGTAAGACTGGAGTGTGCGCGCACTCGCCTCGCATATAAATGGGCTCGTTATCATTAAGGCGGCGGCGCCCCGCTCTACACAACCCATCATCTTTGCACCCAATTAACGATTACCTAGTTAAGAAGTAAACATACTGGTTAATATTATAATTATGGCTAATTAATAACTGATGGTTTAAAGAAAAGTGTTTAAGTGAAGTTAATCTGTTAGTTTTTGTCATTGCCCAAGGACAGTTCAAATAATACATAATTATAAAATGAATCAATTTTATTTTAATGGTCTTTTTAACAATTCACTACCTGAATAAATAACAATATTGATTAACTACTTACATATTAAAGTCCTATAAGAATAGTTATGTATTTACTCTAAAAATGAATAAGGACTAGCAGTATTGAGACATAACAAGCATGTACACTAATGTCTTATTGAGGAACTACAAAAATAAATCATCTAATGTATCACTGTGCAATATAATTTCAATTGACAATACTTCAAATGCTAGGTGTAAATGCATGAATAAGTTTTAATACAATACAATAATTGTATTACACAAATGTTACTTTGGCAGTACTCCTTACTCTAACAAATATAATATTGAATACATTAACGATTACTCTTTAAAATTATATTTATTACCTTATGCTCAACATTACTGAGAATAATGATGTATCCTAAATAGTTTATGAGTGGTTCATGGAAGACACAACAATGATAATATTAGATACACATTACACATTGTAGTTACATAAATGCACACCCCTATTTTAATATATGTACATTACATGTACAACGAAACCCCACACAGCAGAAACAATATAAATGAAGATAGAGAAATATAATCTACATGATTGCAATTTAAATACATTATTATCACCAAATGACCAACACATCACAATGTTAAAAATACATTTAATAAAGTAACATTAACTTCTTTAAAAAAGTAACAAGCACTTTCATGAAGATCCACAGTATAAATCCAATATAACCTAATGTACATGTTTCATATCAAACAGATTACTACAGAAAAAATGGTAAGTCGGTTTCCTTCAATTCAATTGAGCCATTCTTACAAACTACATGCAACTCATCGTGTGGTTCTTTCTCAAAGCGGAACCTCTTTGGATATGAGTCATCCATAAATCGGCCTAACTTCAATATCTTTTCATCAACTAGTATTTTCTCTGCTATCAAGTTGGTAGCAGGTAAATTCTTCAATATATCTGGCATCAGAAGCTCAACTTTTCCTTTCTCATGTATGAAAATACTGCTCTTGTCTTTAAACTGTGAAGCATGCATGTACACATCCCCACTCTTCAAGGAAGCCTGCAAGTTGCCTGAGAAGCCTGTGATGTGCAGATTACCTTGCTGTATGACATCAATCATCACTGATTTGTGCAGGTTGTCAAGCCTCAAGTTGCCCATCAATGTGGTGAAATGTGATTTGCAACAGTAACATGACCTTACTACTATTGGTCCAGCATGAGTTGTTACATTGCAACCAGACGCCATGATATTGTTACATGTTATACCAGAGTTAAGGCCAGTTTTTATTTCTATATTATTAGCTTGTAAACTTCCTTCAGATTTAATTTCACCCTCAATGCTCTCCACCACAATATTCTTGGCTTTCAGATTAGAAACATTAATTGTTCCTTTTTGTGTTTTAACTACAAACTCCTGTCCTTCTAACTTGGCTAGATGCACAGATGCATAATCTGTTGTTGTAACCTGGACTTTTAGATGGTATGGTACCTGTATGACACAGACGTCGTTTCTATCGGACGCAGTATTCTTGTTGAATAACTCCAATCGCTTGGAAGTCTGTTTCACTTGAAAATCACTTGTTTCTTTGCCTTGACTGTACAATGTCATGGTCAGCTTGTTGTGAGCTTTTAGATCGTCCACGTCAATTGGCTGGATTTTAACATGTATAGGACTCTCGATAAAGATGCTTGTATTATTATCTATTATCTTTTCCACGGTCCTAACTGCATTCAACTTCTTTATATCGGGCAAGTTGCTGAAATCGGCCACAGTTAACCTCAAAATTTTGAGGCACTTATGTAAGACCCGCTCGCCCATTAAAGTAAACATCTTGTAATATTTCTCACACTTAATAAAATCATAAAAACATGATTAAATCTAAAGTAATTTAATTATTTTAATCGCATTCTCGTTTCCATTCAGTTTGACATAAAGCAATTAACATTCAACACCTGACTTTGACAATTCTTCTTTTGAATTTTGACATAAACTGCGTTTCGTTCATAAATTGGTCAACTTTCAAAAATTGTGATAACCACACTGAAATGACTATTTTAATTACTCGTTTTGATTGAATTTTTGTCTATTTTTTTTCAAAAGATTTTAATTTTAAATTGTTGAAATAAAGTTCAAAACTATTATTGTAATATCGTTACATTGTCGAACTTTCAAGTCCTGAAAGGTTTATTCATATTACCTATCCAAAATGTAACTTTACTAAAAGATACTTTTCGTGAGACATACTAAATACCATTATAATAACGATCTATTCACGTAAAGTAAAATTTGAACCAGTAGAGCTTTCCACATTGATTATTATTAATTGTAATCGATAATCAAAATCCATTTTCTATAGAATCTATCACAATTATTAAAACATCAATTACTTTAATGTTGTGTATTGTACATACCTACTATGAATAATTCCTAAGTGAGACCGAACTAAACATAGAATCCTAAAATACCTAGTGATACAATCATCATACTATACATTTCCAGCTAAGATAGGCGAAAAGAATTGTAAACGATCTTATATTAAATGAGTCATTATCATATCAACAAATCATAACAATAATTGTTAGCTACGCCTACGCCAAACGCCGTTTTAGCACTAAACTCTTTACGATTGTTGAAAACGAAGCGACCTGCACCCAGTCTTTATCTATCTATAATTTATTACTGTCTAATATACAATCGAATAGGTAGGCCTAATAAATCATTTTCGTTGTAACTTATAAATATGTATATATATATTAATCCGTCTGTCTGGCCACATCCCACAACAAAATGGCCACTACTCTAAGTTTAGTACTCAAACCTCAAACATAGGTACCCTGACCCATGCCTTGATTGGCGTAATTTTAGACTGGCCTTTCATTGGAGGATTCGTACAATCTAGTCTTTGCCTCTATCATAGACTTTTTAGTAGCTAGCCAGACTTAGTCGATTCGAATCAGTAAAGGACCATCATTTTAATGTTTTGTATTTTGTTGTTTTTCTTCGTCCTCAATATTGTCACGATTATTTTATTACTAATATAATGTACATGCACACATTAATGATATTTTTTGTGTAATCCTACTTGAGGCGATTTAAACGTCAAAATAGTCTCGAATGAAGATGTGAGATCTCAGCTTAGTCGAATTCAAATGTCAAACAGTGTATTCCCAGTTTTCACTCACCCTCCTCATTTTTCAATTTTCAATTAATCAATAAATCTGGAATCAATCAAAAAGGGGCGAGTCACGTCTGAGGATGGACGTAGGAGATTAAATTAGAATTTTTGCAAGATTTTTGTAATAGTTAAAGTCAGACGACTGAAGATTCGCTGTATTTAACCAATAACAAGGCGAACTTTAGTTGTAACTCGCTCCTAATTTGCAATCTGCAAGTTGCCGGTAAGAACTAAGAAGGAAGGAAGGGGGTGGGTTGAATCGATCGGTGCACCACACTGCATTATGAGAACAAGATGAACGCCGACTTGAAGGATGCGTTTTCGCGCATCAAACCAGTGTGCGATGTTCTCATGGTGTGCCCGACCGAAGATAGCATTGCTGCGTACCTGAGGCGGGTTGCAGAGCTGAAGAAAGAAGTGATCCAGGAGCTTCAGCAGTACCTACTGTTCCCACTCATCACCCACTTGAAGTCCACTGAAACTGAGTAAGAAACCTTTTTATATTATATTTTAAGTTTTCAGTAATCATTTGCACAGGTAAGTATTCTTTTTCAACGAGTCATCATCATCATGATCATCATCTTCATCACCTTCATCACCATCAGCACAATGAAGAAACAACTATGGCGCAGCACTTCTATATTTTAATAGTAGGGTAGTAGGGTAGTTGTCGGAAACTCAATATAATTTACTTTATATTTTAACAGTTAATAAATCTGAATGTTTTTTTCGTTCTCGTGGAGTAAGATTTAGGGTGAATTAAATAAAACAGAATTTAAAAAAAAAATATTTGATTGGTAATCTTCACATTTTTTAACTCGGCCATGTGGTGGATATTGAAATAAATCACGCATAATACATGCCTCATAATAATATAATGCGATGCGACCTCTCTAACTTTAAGGTAGAATATAACATTTGTTATAAAAAAAAAACACAAATATTTTTAGAACTTTTAAAAAGTACGTATTTCTGATATTTAAAATCATGATTGGAAATAATAAAGAATATAAACATTGATTAATGTGTGTAAACTGTATACTATTGATCAACTTCAGAACAAGAATTGTACAAGACAAAGACAAAATTATTTATTTGCAAAGACATCATAATTATAATATTCCTATAGGAATCTGATAAGTAAAAAAATATTCCATGTGTATTTCCGGAAATATTAAATGACCACACCCTGGAAGTTAACATTATTGATTAATTTTTCTTGAATAAATAGAATAGTAGCTTGGATACAATTTACAATAATAAATTTTATACAAAGACCTTTTATGACTGAGAATTTAAAAAAATTCTGTATGTAACATAATGGAAAGGCAGCTAGTCTCAGGAAACTTAGAGCCTTAACTTCACTTTTAAAATAATTAATAAGGTAAAAAAAAGGAGAAGAGCAAAGGATAAAGAAAAATACTAAATATTCATCATATTTATATTTTTATGTGTTAGGTAGACACATCTAGCTTCACTGACAGACAGATGGACAGACAATTCAATTTTGATGTTTCAAAAGTGCCTAATAAGGGATTAATTAAAGTAAATGCTTTGACCTTCACTTTGAAGTGAATATAAAGGAAATGAAGTTGATTGTTTTTATGGAAATAAATTAAATTATTAGTTTTAACACTGGAAACACCTGTAAATAAATGTACACTATGTTATTCTTTATTATTCTGCTGAGCACATCACATTACTTATCTTATACCATTATATAAAGCAGAAGAGTTTGTTTTTTTGTTTGTTTGTTTGATCGCACTAATCTCCATAACTACAAGTCTGATTTGAATAATTCCTTTTGGGTTGGTTAGCGCATTTATCGAGGATGGCTATAGGCTATAAAACATCACACTACGACCAATAGGAGCTGAGCAGAGCGTGTGAAACCGCGTGGAAGTAGCTAGTACATTAATATTTCCTGTGCACCTTTTAAGAAAATTTCCATGTGATTGATTGATTCATGTATGCTATAAAATAAACTTACATAGTTTTAAGAAACATTTTTGTTGCTAATAAAAAATATGGTGTTGGCTACATTATTTCTACCCTTGTTACTTTAAATAGAAAATCAATACATTTGCCAATTCATATTATTTAGGAAGAAACATGAACTGCAACAGAAGCTGGTGGATTGTATGAGAACTGTGCTGGAGAAGGTGACGGTGAACAGTTTCGAAATGTGCATGAAGATGGAAATAGGACTGCTGCAAATTGTATTTGATCACACTAAACCTGGAATGGGTAAGGCTTTGTCAACTATATCTTCTGTAGTACCCCTTTCTTAAATGAGTCCATCCTGGGCCAACCATAATAGAGTTAATTAGTGATAAGTTGAGAAACATTGGGTCTTGTGTATCTAGATAGCATCTCAATGACTTTTTTATAGGATCGGCATCATTCTGCAGCTTTCAATTAATAGTTTTATTTATTCCAAAAAGTGATGTGAACATGTAAAGCATTTTTGTAGTTAAGACATAACTCATAGGGTTGTTCATTTATTTATAGTAATTAAGTCATGAGGAATCATATCAGACATTTTACTAGATACCGAATGCTTATGCTTATAAAAAAAATTGAAAAAATAATAAAGGATTTATTTAGAGAATTAGTAAGTTCAAATATCTTCGAATTCAAGCTACATTTACATTTAATGAACATTTATATTGTCCGTATTATTGATTTTTGTCAGATATGTTTATGAAAGAAGACATCTTTGGGGATAGAGACACATTAATTTGGTTTAATATTCTCGTTTTATATCAATAGATTATCTAGTATTCAACTTTTATAGATAGAATTTGTAGATAACTAATCATACAGGTACCTAACTTTTAGTACATTAGTAACTTTTAGTACACTAGTACTTTTATTGGGATGTGGCTGATATTCAGTCCCTGCCCCCTTCAGCAAGCGTAATTGACCTCAATTGTGCACCAATCTGTACAAGTAGTGAGTTCCTCAGCAACATTGCAGTTTCAATGACCCGAGGTTGAATGAATAACAGCACAAAATTATCTCCGCACCGTGTGCGTTACCCAGGCAAAATGTTTTGCTTTAGAGAGATGAGACTTAAACAAATAATTAGTGTATCATGAGGAGCAATTGTTTACTAATAGCAAAATTTGTTTGAATTGTAGTTTTTAAGTTATTTAAGAAAAACAAATTTTGCTGGAGTAACGTTTGAAACGTTACCCAGGCAAAATAGTCTTTCAAAAATTAGTTTCAGCACGGAACCAAATACATGAATAGATAGCTTTTGTTGCGTAGTAAATGTTTATAAATAGCAAAATTTGTGTGTGGTATAGTTCTTTAGTTATTTAAGATTTTGCTGCGGTAACGTTTTGGGATTTCCCAGATCTCGAAAACGGCTCAACGCAGAAGTTTGAAAAAAATACCAATAAAAGACCTCAATTTGTTTAAATTTGTTTAATCATTAGTTTTTGATTTGGTTGACGTAAACCAATGTAATTAAATGGTTTCAAAAATCAGAAGAAGCGGGTTTACATGTAAACCAATACACTTATAACCAAATAAACAGCTGTAAAAAATACCCGTGGTTCGACGCTTGTTTACAGCAGACATTTTAGATTTCATACTTTACACGTTAAGAAGATAAAAACAAATTTGATTTATTTTAGACTGGTCGTACTTTAGCGATCAAATACGCAGTTCCCATAACATTAAGAAACATGGCATACTTTAAACAAATTAAAATGATTCCTGAAAATTCCTTCCTGTTAATTGCAGCTTTGAATTACGGCTCTAATGAAAGTTATCTCAAAAA